CACAGGCTGTGACCCCCAAGTTTGTTCTCATTATTGTGGTGTCTATGGTGTCACTGTTATCCTAATTCACATTTCTCTAATGACTAATGTTGCTGAGTGCCCTTCTACGTGCATAGTCAGCACACTATTGCTTTGGAGAGGGTGTTCAAACTCTCTGCCCATCTATACACACACACACACTATTTTTTTTTTTGAGACAAGGTTACCCTGGCTGTCCTAGAGTCTCATTGTAGAACAGGCAAGTTTCAAACTCAGTGATCCACCTGCCTCTGCCTCCTGAGTGCTTCATTTAAAGGCATCTGCCACTGTTACTCTGGTCACACACATTATTCTTATCAGATATGTAAGATTCATAATATCCTCTCCAATTATGTGAGCTATCTTTCACTTTCCTTTATAGTGACTTTTGAAAAACAGAAAAATTTTAGTTCTGATAAAGTCCAATCTATCTTTTTTTTTTCTCTTTTTCTTTTCCTACTTTTGTCTTGGGTAGCACACCTAAGGAGCTATTGTCCCAACAGAGGCCAGAAAGATTACACATTTTCATAGTTTTATATTTAGATCCTTGGTTCAACAAGAGTTAATGTTTATATATGGTCCAACCTCATGCTTTCGAATATGGATATCCAGTTTTTAACAGCATCTGTTGAAAATATTGTTCCTCCCCCATTGCACTGTTTTATTCCCTTTGTCATACCATCAGTTGGTCAGGGTTGGGCAATATGTCTCGTTGGTACAGCGCTTGCCTGGTATGTGCAAACCCCTGGGTCTAAGCCTAAGAACCAGAAAACACTCAATAAGTCACCTGCTCATGAACACAGGGGATTACTTCTGCCTTGTCGATCTACATGGCTGTTCGAAGGCCAGTACCGTCCTGTCCCATCATACCTCTGTCGTTAGTTTTTAAATCACTCAGACTGCTTTGTTTAGTTTTTCCAACATGATTTTAACTATTCTGGGTACTTGCAGTTTTCAGTATATGAACCTTGCACTCCTCTTGTTAACTCCATTCAGGTGAGCAATCTTAATGTTTACTCACACTTCCTGCAGCCAGTTTAAATCTGTTGGACAATCTTAGTAGTTTTTAAAGTAGTGGTTTTTTTACTATTAGGTATTGTCTTAGTCAGTGTCCTATTGCTGTGAAGAGACACCATGAGCATGGTAACTCATAAAAAGGAAAGCATCTCATTGGAGCTGGCTTGCAGGTTCCGAGGTTTAGTCCATTGTCCTCATGGTGGGAAGCACAGCAGCCTAGAGGTGCTGGAGAGTAACTGAGAGGTCTACATCTAGATCATCAGGCAGCAGGAAAAGAGAGGCACCGGGCCTGGCTTTAGCATTTGAAACCTCAAAGCCCACTCCCCCAATGACACCCTTCCTCCAGCAAGACACCTCCTAATTCCTTCCCCTTCCATGAAGGAGCACAACTCCCTAATGACCAAGCATTTAAACATACTATACAGACTATAGGAGTCGTTCCTATTCAAACCACCACAGGGGCTGGTGGCTTTCTGTGAGCTCAAAAAGTCATTAATCAATTTAATTTACTGTTGGAATTTTAACTGCAGAACTTGTATTTGGTTCTCTATGTTTTTAAAACCATCCCTGTCTCTTTATTGTTACTCTTTATTTTGATCAGGCTTAATTTTATGTACCTTCCTTCAACTCTTTAGACACAATTCCTAATTCTTTAAATATATTAAATATATTTCTAATTTATAATAAATATAAATATATTATATCTAGTAAATTCAACAACTGGATTCCTTCAGGTACAGTTTCTGTTTACTGATAAATTTTCCCTTCTTTCTGGGCCATAGTTTGTTGTTGTTGTTAATATGTATTGTAGTCCTTCTCTCCCCTGTGCTGAGAATCAAACTCAAGGTCTTGTGTGTGTTAGGCATGCTCTGTCTGTGAGCTACACGCCTAGCCCCAATCTTGTAACTCTTTGCTGCAGGCTGACCGTTCACACACCATGATGTGTCAACTCTAAGTACTAGATTCCCTCCCCCTCCCTGCAGTGTTGCCTATTGCTGCTGCTGTTATTGGTTTCTGAGTTTCTTTTACTGATTTTATAGGATCTGAATTCCTTAGCATGATGACCCCTGAGTCCCCATTTAGTTAACTTACTGGTTGGACTAATGAATAGATAGTCCCAGGATTCAATGAGCACTCCTCCTCCCTCTGTGTTCTGGGCTTGTCTTCTGTGGCCAGCTGGGCAGTTTATGGTTCTAACCTTAGAGTTTTCCTGTTTGTGAGAGTCTCAACATGTATCAAAGGTGAGAGGGGTTTTCCTGGCCCTTTCCTAATCACATGTGGAACCATGTGCACACAGGAACTAGCTTCCTAGGAATCTGCTGGAGCATTCGAAATTCTCTATGAATATGTTTTATGTTGTTTTAATTCATTCTCTTGGTCCCAAATGGAATCACTGCCTCAAGACAATGCTTTAAAAACCCACTTTGACCAACACCCTAATAAGGCTGTTCACAGAGAAAGTTCTTAATCCAATCAAAATAGTCATAAGTTCTAAGAATGAAACTTTATAAGAAGATTCCAGAAAGGTCACACAGACAATTCACCAGAGATGTGACTATTTTGGAAGACCCCAAACCTAGATTCTTCCACCGGTTACTACTTTTCTGGCCTCTACAGTTGCCATAGTAACTTGTCAATTTCTGTGGCCACCATGGCAATGAGGTTAGAGAGTAGGTCCAAACAAGATAAAACACCACTGCAATCACTGTTTTCAACTACATCCAACCACTCTGGTTACTTAAATTCATTTCCAGATTAATCCACAAGATGACCAACAGAGCAAACTAGCCAGGCCCAGGGGGGAGCTGTGGAGACTGAAACACCAACCAAGGACCATGCGTGGACTGGACTTAGACCCCCTACACAGATGTAGTAAATGGGCAGCTTGGTCTTCATGTGAGTTTCCTAGTAAGGGGAGTAGGGGTTATCTCTGACATGGACTCTGTTGCCTGCTTTTTGATCATTCCCCCTCTGGAAGAGCTGCCTTGCCAGGCCACACAGGAAGAGGATGCACTCAGTCCTGATGAAACTTGAGGTGGGGGCTAAGAGAGAGGGAGGTTAAGGCTGGGAGGACAGGAGGGAGGGGCCTACAATAGAGATATAAAGTGAATTAATTAATTAATTTTTTCTAAAGGGTTTTGAAAAGCAAATTTTGACAGTTATTGCTGATATTTTCACTGCTAGTGTCGAACAGATTTTCCAGAGAACCTCAACCAAGACTTCATGTTTCCTTGAAGGGACGCTTGAAATTATTACCTGTGATTCAGGTCCTGTAAGTACTTCTGAAAGTAAAGAACCCATGTGGAGGAAGGAAAGAGCCAATTCCCACAAGTTCTTCTCTGTCCTACACAGACACACACACACACACACACACACACACACACACACACACCACAGGGGTAGCATATACAAATTAATTAACTAAACATTTAGAAACTATTGTCTTGGCTCAATAGTATTTTTATTTCTTTTCTACCCACGAAGTAACCTGCTTCTTCTCTCTCATCTCTTCAGTGAGTAAATTATAAAATTTTAGGAGGCGTGGGAATAGGAAAAAAATATTTTCTAACTTTTAAAAATAGTTTCCCTGTGCACTGGTACCATGGAGGGAAGTTTCAGAAACAATGTGGACCAAAGCGTTTCTTTCCAAATAAGCAAATAAATAACACGCGCTGGGGGTGTGTCTCAGTCGGCAGAGTGCCTGCCTATCTTTCAGGAAGCCCTCGATCCAGCCCTCAGTGCCGTATCAACTGGCTGTGACAGTGCGCCCATGCAATCCCAAAACTCGGGACGTTGAAGCAGAAGGACCAGAAATTGAAAGTCCTAGCCTGCAGCCATGGCCCAGTGGTTAGGAGCTCATGCTGCCCTTACAGAGGACTCCCACTCAGAACCAACATCAGAACTGCCTATAACTCCAGTTCCCGCAGACCAGACAGCTCTGGCCTTCCAGGGCAAGTGCACTCACACAAACATGGAATTAAAAATAAAATAAACCTCAGGTATGGTCGTACACGCCTTTAATCCCAGCACTCAGGAAGCAGAGGCAGGCAGATCTCTGGGAATTAGAGGGCAGCCTGGTCTACATGGCTTGTTTCGGGACAGCCAAGGTTACATAGTGAGAATCTGGCTCAAAAATTAAATAAATAAATAAGTATATGTTTTTAAAAGGTTCAAGGTCATCCTCATGTCCAGAGAACTTGAGGCAAGCCTGGAATGCATGAGATCCTCTGTCTTAAAAAGAAATAAGAAGAGCTGTCATGGTGAAGGCTCTGTGACAAAAGACATCTGCCACTAAACCTAACAGCTTGAGCTCAATCCTAATGACCCATGTTATGGAAGGAAAGAAATGACTCCTGAAAGTTGTTCTCTGACCCCCACCACAAACACACACACACACACACACACACACACACACACAAGCACGCATGCATATACTGTGGCCTATATATCTATCTCCCTGTCACTTCAACCCCCAGACAGAATCAACAAATGTAATTTAAAAATAAGTAAATAAATATCCAGTTATTCCAGGTCTAGACTAGTCATGAGGTGATGTAGAAACTGGAGGAGATAAAGAGAGAGTCTCTGTGGATTAAAGCAGGGCTTCCAAATAGACCACCTACGTGCAAATTACTCAACTGTGGACTTCCACTTTCTGGCGGTTACCACTTCTCGCCAGCCCTTTCCACTTCTTCAGCTATCAGGTGCTGAGATGAGGGACATGTGAGATAATTTGCCAGTCTTCTTGGGCAAAACTGTAATTGGTAAAGCAGCATTGGTGACACAAAAAGTGGAGGTTGGTGATTCATTCCGGTGATGTCTTGGGCCAAATTCCAGAAGGCAGTATTTTCAGGAGGGAGGGAGGGCGATTTGCATGCATGACCTCACCCAGAAGCCCAGCCCCAGAGCATATAAACAGGAGAGCCTTCACTCCTCGCCAGTCTTACTACCGCCAGGCCCAGCAACCAGACAGACCAGGACCATGGCTGTGCTTCAATCCGTGCTGCCACACCTTAGGCTGCTTGTGTGTCTGGCCCTGTACTTTTCTCCCGCCTTCTCTGCAAGTGATAACGACTCCTGCATGATCTTCGATAAAGTCTTTTCCTCCGACACCTTGGGTATCAACATCACTGAGGCTAACATTGCTGACGGGTACACAACCTACACAGGTGAGTGAAAGCCATTCATTCTGCTGTCCTTTGTTCTCCACAGAACCTTAACCAGACTCTCAGAATGTACCCCTCCATCGCTGCTCTCAATGCGTGTGTGTGTGTGTGTGTGTGTGTGTGTGTGTGAACAAGATGGAAACTGGAGAGGGGTGGCTAATCTATGAAAGAGTGGGTTGGAAGGACCATTTCTGTAGTTTCCTGCCCATGACTAAATCACAGGTGCTGTTAAACCGCATGTGCCTAAATGAACTAACCCCGGCCAGATCCCACCTAGGCAAAGATCTGGCTGCTTTAAATGGGCATGGTGTTATTTGAGGGGTTTCACAGCAGCCTACAATCCTATCACATCCCGTTGACAAAATGACTGTCCCTCGCAGGACACCAGGAAGGATGACTTGCAGTTAGTGTCTGCTGAAAACTGTGTGAGCTAAGGGAAAACTTCAGTAGCCCACCTCATGGTGAGCAGCCTGAGGCACGGAGGTGTTAAATGACTCACTGGGAACTCACGGACTGGAAGTAGCAGAAGCTCTGTGAACCTTGGTTGGTCAATCCTAACCTGATGTTCTCCTTAGAAGTATCTAGAAAGTATTTCATAACTTTCCCCTTGGGGATTCAACAAACCTACACGTTAAAGAATATGCTTTCTACCTAGCTAAATTTTTTTATTCATTTTTTAAAGCATCTTCAGTTGATTTTTTAAAATTTTTTTATTATTATAGCGTGTGCTCTTTTGTGATGTGTGTATGTGTGTACACAGAGTCATGCACACGTCCTGGCACTCATGTGGAGGTCAGAAGATAAGTTTGTGGAGTTTCTCTCCTCCCCTATCATGTGTGTCCTGAGGCTTGATTGAACTCAGGTCACCAGGTTTTCACGGCAACTGCCTTTACCCACTGAGCCCTTTCACCTGCCTGCCCTCCCCCCACACTCACCACAGCTAGTTTTATAACAGCAGCAGCATTTTTTTTTTTTTTTTTTGGTGCTTCATAGATGAAAACATGACACTAGGCAGACCTGTTGATACTCCCCGTTTCTAAGATGAGAAGACAGACACAGATGCTGGGTGACTTGCTCCCAGTCACAGAGCTGTGGAAATGGCAGAAGTAAATGTCAATCCACATTATAACGTTAACACAACTTACTATGTGCTGGTATTGCTCTAAGGGGAAAATGCTATTATTAACTTCCATTTTACAGGGGAGAAGGAAGACACATAGAAGTCAAAATTTTACCCAAGGTCACCAGAATGTAACAGAACTAATATGTGAGCCTAAGGAGCATAGCAAAGGCCCACCATTCCTAACTCCTTCGTCACCCTTCCCCTCTTAAAAGTCTAAGCAATTTTTTGCAGAGACCACCATGGTAACAGCCGGTACTCCCGGTCTGCAGACCCAGCCTCACAGGTGAACTGCTCTGCCTTGCCTTCCCACACTCATCCTGCTTGTCTCTCTACTGTTTCCTGGGGATGTCACTACGCAGGCTCTCCTGCTGTAACAGGGCTATGTCCCACTCTCTTGAGAAGTGGTCTTTTCATACCAAAGCAGGGAAGATAAGTCTGTAATTCAAGACGAATACTAGGTTAGTGTGTATATGAATCCATTACTGCAAGAGCGATTTCAGACCTCCAATGAAAGATTGCACAGCAGGAGAGTGTCAGGTCTGCTGCTGAAATGGGAGAAAGAGACATGAAATAGAGGGAGATAAGAGGAAGACCTGGAGCCGGTCTGAAAGGAGGAAGGCAGGAAGGGGGAAACAGGAACAGTGGGGAAGAGGGCAACCGCAGCTCCCGTAGCCTCGGGGAAAGAGAAAAGAACTCAGCTTCCTTGAGTGCCTACGCTTTGCTCTTTTATCAGATTCCATTTCAAACCAAAACCTGTTGGAGTTCCGAGCTCGGAGGTAAATCTGACTCATACTTTAAACTGAGGGCCAAAAAAACCTCTGTCTGTGGGGGGTGAGAAGGGCTGGATTCCACACCTACAGTTACGAAGAAGGCCTTCCAAATACCTCTGTAGCACGCCATGGCCGGGACTCGGGCCTTCTGGAGACCTTCTGTCAGCCACCTTTCCTTGTTTTGGCTTGAAATCTTTTCCATTTCAGCATTGTGTCAACATTGGTAAGCCATGTATAAATGGCTTGGCAGACCCGAGATGGCCACAGCTTAGCCAGCATCTCAGAGACCCTCCTGGACCTGTTAAAGAAGGAAGCCTATAATATTTACCCTGAGACGTTGCTCAGTCAGCCTCTGCCCCGTTGTTCATTTCTATGGACAAAAAAAAAAAAAAAAAAGGATGTAATTTAGCACTTCCTGAACTTTCAGGCTTTAAGGACATTGGACTCCACTGGATAAAGGACTGTTTTTTATTTCTAAGTGCTAGAGACAGAACCCAGGGCCTTGAAGCCACTAGACAAGGTGATCTACCACCAAGCTACACCCCACCCAGCCTCAATTCGGGGCTTTAGAATCAGTCAAAAACACTTGTTTAGTGCCCGGATACTGACCGATGAAACCATAAAATGTAATTAAGTATTTAATGCTATAGAAGGGGGTGTGAATGTTTCAGATATGAGGGGGAAAACAGGACTAAGTTAGACCAGAGAAGGGAGGGGAACAATATCTGGGTGTGGAAGTGGGGATGGGATGAATGATAACAAAGGAGAGCTCCAGACAGACACCCAGATGTGAGTGAACACGAGGGGCAGGTGCGGGTCAGATGTAACCAGGTGCGTTTGCAGGACAGGTTGGGGTGGGGCAGGTGAGAAACAGCTGCTGTCCCTAGAGTAAAATACAGACAGAGCGAGGCTGGGTGTTGGATCCGATCACTTCCGGGAGAGATGGGAATGTGAAAGCAGAAATGTTTAGATTCTCTAGATGTGTGGGCACACAGCCCACCTGACAGGTTATGTGAGGAAGTCTGGTCTGACCACCACATGTTGCAAGGCATCTTGAGGGAGGCTGAAGCCACAGAGCCAGAGACTGCAAGTGCTTAGGAAGGAAAGCTAAGCCCACAGTGAGAGGCAAAAGGCAGAAAAGGAACAGTCAAGAAAACACTGTTGGAGAGTGAAGAAGATTGCTGACTGACTATCTAAATGGCAGTATTGCACGTCATCTCTGCCATGCAACAATGCAAAAACTTACCACAAAAGTCGGCTCCCTTGAGTGAGCCAGAACAGACAAGATTTTGGCTCAGCTGACCCTCTTGGCAAAGCAAACCAGGGCAATAAAACACAATGTGCTTAAATTAGTATTAACGATCACAATTTATGCGATATGAAGCACCTGTTAGCATCTTCGATCCTATCAGGAGCCTTTGCTGATATGTAGCATCAACCCAGATGAGGGATAATGTCATCCCCCAGACCTGGAGCTGTGGCAAGCACAAAGTGGGAACTTGGGGAAAAAAAATATGTACAGGTCATCAGGGATGTAGCCTAATTTGTAGAGTGCTTGCCTAGCACACACGAAGTTCTGGGTTCAGTTTTCTGCATTTCATAAATCAGTCGTGGCGCTGCAATGTCTGTACACAAGACGGAGGGAGTTCAAGGTCATCCTCAGCCACATTTGAGTCCGGCTTAGGAAGAGGTCCTGTTTCAAAACACACAAACTGTCCCCAGTGGTCACTGAGGGAGAAGACGCCAGGGCTCAGAAGTGGCCTGTTCTGCCCCTGAGTACGAGAGCCAGGACACAGATCCGGACAGTCTGACCGTTGTGCTACTTGATGCACTTGCTTTGCTTTGGGAAGGAGCCTTGGAAGAAGTTTCAGATAACTGGCATGCCCCAATATTAAGAAATTTACTCATGCGGGCTCTTCTAGGGAGAAAAATGGAGAGACTAAAATGTCCTCATGTTGAAATTAACAAAATGTCAGCAAGGTCCCCTGGAAGCACAAGCAGGCTGGGTCACAGACCTCATCTGAATAGAGAATACCCCCACGATGTAATTTGGTCTTTGAATTAGGAACCTGTGGCTCAGACCTCAGTGCATCATACTTGGTCCAACCTCTGCCCTACTCCTACCCGCCACCTTCAACAACTGAGGCCAAGAGGATCAGTGCTTCTGGGGTCAGAAGCAGGGCTTTACTTTACTTGGCAACAGCATTCCCTTGTAGCACTTTCTAGGAGGCCTCCTAACCCATTCGGGGGAGGAGAGGTCAGCCTATTCACCCTTAGGGTCTGTCCACCTGTAGCAAAACCAGGGCCAGAGGATGCTCGGACTCATACCCACCTTTCACTGTAGAGTATTTGGGAAATAAAAAGCAACTCTGGAGACGACTATTAAAAATCATCTATAGCCCAGGCTGGCTTTAAACTTCTCTGTAGATGAAGAGGGTGCTGAACTCACTATCCTCCAAGTGCTGCAATGGCAGGCATGTGGCCACTGAGTTCCCAGTTGGTAGCTCTGTACTTTCTTCCAGGCCCTCTTCTTCAGTTTCTCTTACAGAAACAGGACCGTGCTGTCCATACTTTGTAACTTCCTTTGCCCACACTTTATTTTGGTTTCACTTGGCTCAGGTTAACTGCTTCCTCATCTTTTCCTCCTAGTGACAATCCCTGTGAACAATTCAGTCAGAGCCGTGATCCTGAAAGCAGTGAACCAGAGCAATGACACAGTGGGTACCTGGGTTGGAGCAACTGAGGGATGCAATGGCACCAGCTTCTACAATGTGACACACCCAAACAACTCAGCCATTCAGACAACGTGGAAAGTTCCAGATTCTGAGGATTTGACTACAGTCGACCTGCAGTAAGAGCTCATATCACTTTGGGCTTTTGAATTTTTATAACAGGTTGATACAGTTTCACGTTTATCTAGGACTAAACTAGACTGTGGGTGTGAGTGGAGAACCCAAGCAATGCCCAGTGCTCTGCATAATTAGGAAGACCGGGCACTGTTTTTCTCTCAAGTTCTCTGTGTTTAAACTAGAGAATTCTTTTTTTTTTAAGTTTCTGTTAGCAAACAAAATAATAGATTTTATTATGACATTTTATCATGTATATCATTGTACTTTGCTCCTATTCACTTCATTGCCTTTTCTTAGTCTCCCTTTCCTTCAGTTACCTACCTTCCTGCAACTAGTCCCCCTTCTACTTTCATATACACACACATACATACATGCTATACATGTATATATACACATATATGTATAAATACACATGCTATATATGTATATATATACATATATCTATATAATACAAATCTAGTGGATTATCATTTGTAAAGCAGACACTCATTTGGGAAATGTGTACCTAAAAGACAACTGAGATTATAATAAAAGTTTCCTCCTGTCATAAAAGATGGAAGCCCTGGGGTTCTAAGAAAAGGTCACATATAGCTAGCATTAAGCTTTCACAACAAATGTCTCTCACTCTGAGGACCTGATGACACTGACTTTGGAAACCAAGTGTTGTGAAGAACTTATGCTCCTGAAAGGGCAACCTGGCAATCAGGCTGTGTCCACCGTCAGCATCCCTGTCTCTGTGGAAACTGGCGATGCTGTTAACCCATTCTTTTCTCTCTTGCCACACTCTAGACCTAGCCAGGCTTCATCAGTTTTTGAGGAGGAACTGTTATGCCCATAGTGTGATAAATGAAAACAGAATCCAAAGAGAGCTACTACTATCAACCCTACCATGGCAACAGTTGCTTAGCAACCAGGCAGATCTTAGAATAAGGATGCTGAGCACACTGAGCACCCACAGGTGCAGTCTGCAGCGGCCCAGCAACGACAGCCTACAGGAGAAACAGTTACAGCCCGCCAACAATGTGGCTTGCACCCTCGCTTGTACACTCACGACGATACACTAGTCTTTCTGCTTGTTCATGATGTATACACTCATGGTCTTGATCAGCCACACTGATTCAAGGAGAGGGGACACAGGGAACACCACCATGGAGGGCACTATGCTACGCAGGGTACAACAGGATGTCAAAGGTCTCAGCCCATGGGATTTACAGAGAGGCTGGGAAACACGACCAGCGCACATGTGAGTACTGAGTGAAATGCTCCCTCTGCTTTCCCTGAACACGTAGATTCAGAAAGAGCAACGTTCCACTCTCTCCAGCCTTTCTCTACCTCACCACATGCATCACAACTGTAACTGACTCCTTAGCTAATTATCCGGATAGTCATAAAAATCTGCCTGTCAAGACACTGTAAATGTCATGAGCACAAAAGCCATGGCATGGGTTCACCGCTGTCTGCTCACACCAAGCACGGTGACTGCCAGACAGATGGGGTCCTTTCGTTAGTGACTTGCTGGATGTATAGACGAGGGCCCAATAGTACAATGGACCCATTGTTACCCTCAGAACAAGCTCTGAGGGTAACTTAGTGAACAGTAAATGCCTGCAGGACCTGCCCTCCAGAATTCAACCCTACAGTGGATAGAGAAGCTCATAGCAATTCAATATAACAAAAGACAAGAGATCTGTCCAGGTTAGCAAAAGGAGACTACTGAGTTTCTGAACAGATGTGACCAGGAAAGTTATTGCAAGCTTTTCAGGAAAGAATGAACAAGAGCTGAAAACGGGTACCAGCCTGTGGGGAGTTTCTAATGACGAAGCTGGTGAGGCTGGGACGTTAGGGAGCAGTTTGGAGTTAAGACCCTTGGAGGAGTCAGTCACATCAATACAAAGTAGGTCAATATTTAATGATCTGGTTATTGTGCAATATAAAAAGTATGCTCAGAACAGATTGACAGGATGGGTGATCCGGAAAGGCAAAAGGTTGTAGCTTGTGGGCTGCACGGACAAGGTCCTCACCATTTCTCTTACTGATTTGCTCTCCAGAGTCTTCAGAGTCATCAATCGCACCGCAATAGTGTCATCTGTGAGTCTGGAACAAACAAGTGAGTTCTGTTGCGAAATCATTGTATATTTGACAGTAAACTCAAGCAGTCTGGAAAGTTATTTTGCCCAGATAGCCATTGAGTTTCCCACACTCCTGGAACCTATGTGAGATTTTCCCCATTTTATGCTACATGGAAAACAAAAGCCCTCTCTAAGATTTGTGCAATTTTTCAGAAATCCCTATGGTCACCTTTGGCTCCAAGCCCCTGCTTCAATGGGGACTTTTTCTGTTAAGTACTAGACAGGCATCGATATGGAAAAGCAACATAATTCTCAGTTTCCACACAGAACCTGAAAGCCCCCTCACACAAGGACTTCACATAGTCAATTTTAACCAATTTTAGTCAATTTTAAGAGAATTATGAAGGGGTTGGAGGATGGAAGCTACTACTTATACAAAAGGCATTGTTATCCCCAGGCTCCTTAACCTTCTCTCTACTCCCCATTTTCCTATTTTCCTGTAAGACACCAAAGCATTCAAAACTGAAGTTCAGAAAGGAGAGTTAGCTCGCCTAAGAGCACAGAGAAAATCCACAGCAGAGTGAGGACTCGGATTCAACATCTTACCATTTTTTCTACTTTTCTTAGGCTTACGTTAAAATTAGAGAGATCACTTTGAGGCAGTTCTTATTGTAAGATTCAGCCAAGAGCATGTGTGAACCTTGGGTTCAACTCTTCAGCTTGTGGAGAGAGAGAGGAACCATTAGTCTCTCTCAATATCCAAATACCAGGCCTTCCTCATGAGCCGCAGAGCACTGGAAGGCAGAAATATCAATGTACTGCCAGTTTTTCTGTAGGTCATTTACTACAAAACGCACAGGCAGAATAATTATTACTAACAGCAAATTTTAAAGTGCGTATGCCTAATTAAACTATTGTATGACAGTGTTAATTGTTTCCTTGATGGTTTTCCCTCTGTGAAGTTATTTTCTTCTTCAAGGACATTTTTTTTTTTTTTAGAAAAACACTTGCAGAAATGCTAATAGAGGGGGAATGTTTATTTTTAATCATTAGCTCCATCCTAAGAAAACACAGTTTAAAAATCAGGGGACAGGCCAAAAGTGGTGGTGTGCACCTATGTTCCCGACAGTTAAGAGGGTAAGGCCAGAAGATCCCAACTTTAAGGCCAACATAGGCCACACAGAGAAAGACTGCCTCAAACAAAACAAAAGGATGAAAGGGGAGGGCAAAGCATGGCTGTGCTCTGCTCTCTGGCTGCATGGAATGCCAGAGAGACACTTGTCCTGGAGAAGAGCTAGAGAGAGAAGACATTGTCTCGGCCAGGGAGCCTTATTCCAGGCAAGCAGAATGCCTGGGCCTGTGACAATTTCCTTCTTCCTCTTATAACCAAGTCTTAAAGGGGAAGAAAGTGACCATGTGAGTGTGTGTATGTGTGTGTGTGTGTGTGCACACGCGTGCGAACACACACACACACACACACACACATTGGGAGGACAAAGGAGGACATCCTGTGCCTTCATCAATGGCTTCCCTTCTTATGACAAGATAGGGGCTCTCACTAACCTAGACCTTCCTATTTTCAGTTACGCAGTTGGCCAGCAAGCCCCAGCAATTCTCCTGTCTCTTCCCTTCCCCCCAAATACCTTTCTACTCATTGCTGGGGTTATAGGCCCTACTACCAGCTCAGGTGAGACACCCTTGAAGTGTCTGTGCTCCAAGCTCCAGGTTTTCTGGCATCACACAAGTCCCTAGGAGAGCAAGCCTGGCTTTCTTTGCTTCTCTGAAACCATCACTGAGTACCAGCATCCTGCCGGAACCAACATGAGACACTGCCTGTGGCTTGCAAGCCAGAGAAATAAAGTAAAGGATTTATACAGGGCATCTTAAGCTAAATTTAAGGCAGAGATCACTGTTCTTGGTTCTACATGATACTGAATTCTCGCTAGGACTTGGAATTAGCATTGGATCATATTTACATATTTACTACCTTGGATCATGTTTACATTAGAGTTAACAATAGGAAGATATTTGAGGGCAGACTACCCAACCAACGACAAATTCATGTTTTGTAAATTTTGTAGGCCTTCTCCTCATTTCAACAGACTATGCAGGGGCTGGAGAGGTGGCTCAACTCAGCAGTTAAGAACATATAGTTGCTCTCCCAGAGGACCAGGTTCAATTCCCGGCACCCATGTGGTAACTCCATCTGTAACTCCAGTCCCAGGGAATCTGATGCCCTCTTCCAGCCTTTGAGGGCACTACATATATGTGATACACATACAAACATGCAGGCAAAATATCTGTACACATTTTTTTAAATAAATAAGCAAAATAAACCAAAGAAGCATATAGACCCTAAGGACAGAGACTTACTTATTTTTGTTGCTTAGCAATCTGACCCTTCTAGCTTCCTTCAGCTTCCTTCCTGCAGCACTAGAGAAGTGTGGATTGCTGTTTGCTCATGATCTCTGGCTTTACTGTCTTAAAAAAAAAAAACTTTATTATTACTATGCATATGCATGCACCTTTTGTGTGAAGGTCAGAGGACATTTTGAGGTCAGTTCTCTTCTTTACATGAAATTGAATTCAATGACAAGTGCTTTTACCAGTAGAATCACCTTGCCAGCCTTTAACCTCTTTCTCTAATGCCTACCCACCTCCATACAAAGATCTGATAAAATTGGCTTCTTTGTTTGTTTCTCCTCTAGTGACAAGTGCAATCCTGACTCCAGCCCTACCTACAATTTCTGAGACCATCCAGACCACAGCCAAGACCACAGCCATGACCACAGCCAAGCCCACAGCCATGACCACAGCCAATAACTCAACCATGACCACAGCCAAGCCCACAGCCATGACCACAGCCAAGACTACGGCCATGACCACAAACCTGGCTATTAGCACTCTCAGCAGCCCCCTGGCAGCTACCCTCCACATCCTGCTTGTTTTTCTCATCAGCAAACTCCTCTTTTAAAGGAAACTGGGGAAGCAAATCTCAAGCCCCCACAGCATCTTCCCAAGCTCATTCCAGGCCAGTGTGTTTAAACTGAATGAAGGTTTTATGTCCTCAGTGTGCAACTCCACCACCTCTGACCACAAACCTGTGACACTCAGTAGTGCATTTGAAGGACACAAACGTTTGCCTGGATCTTTCAGGGCACAAATTCTGTTTTTTGTAAATACTTAGGCCATCCTAGTTGTAATCTGGAGTACTGATTCTCAGTTTAACATGTTGACAGGCAATCTGAACTTGTGTTTCTTCCCAAAGGATTCCCATGAGCCTCCTGGGTTTCAGGGTGGGGAGGGAATATCCTTCTTTACTTTCATGCTGATTTCTGGCCAAACCTACTCAGGTTACAAAGAACTTTTGTGACTTACATGACTGAAGGAGAAAAAGAAATGAGTGATAATCCTGTGGCCACTAGCAGATTCCCACTGTGCCCAGACCAGCAGGTTTTGAAGAATGAAAATATATGAAAACTATGCCTGAGAAGCCAATTACAGGGAACATGACTCTTTTTTCCCAAGTCAAATAAATGATACATTAAACAAGAATAATTAATGTGCTAAATTGAAAGATAAGCCTTAATGAATGACAAAATACAAAGTGTTACCTAATTTTATTTTTAAAACTATGAATGAAATTATGTGTGTGTGTGAATGTATGTGTGTTTTCAAAGACAGATTCTACCTTTGTCTTAATTTTTTTTCAGTCTAAGCTGCTGATTTCTTCCTTGATGATAATTTCCACTAAGAAATGGAAAAAAAAACTTATGTATATAGTACAATGTGAAACAAAAGTTATTTTCAGCAATAATCCTGTAATAAGAAATAAAATTTTCCTTTAACTCCTTTCGTACACCATCTAGGACCATTTACCTGGGGACGCACTGCCCACATCAATCTTTAATCAAGAAAATGTCCCACTGATTTGTAGACATCAGGCCAATCTAGGGGAGGAATTTTTCTGGTTTTAAGTTTTCCCTTCCAAGATGGCCCTGGTGTGGGTCAAGTTAACAAAAAGCTAAGGAGCACATGGTGTGAAGAAACTCCCTCATATGACTCTCTGCTAGGTGCTGACCCTGTTAGCTACTTTCATGTGTGCCACATGTGCAAGTCTCACAAAAATGTGCTGTCCTGATAGTTGCCTGGTCGTTCTGTACATTCATTCGTTCATTATTTACTTTACATCCCAATCGTAGCCCACTTTCTCCTCTCCTCCTGGCCCACTCTCCTCCCGTCTTCTCTTCCCCTACCCCTCAGAAAAGGGGAGCCTCCCCCTCCACCAGCAAACCTGCTCCAGCACATCAAGTCACACCTGGACTGTGCACATGAATCCTCTTCCTCCGTGGCCTGGCAAGGCAGCCCCACCAGGAGGAAGTGATTGAAAAGCATGCAACAGAGTGCTTGTTAGAGACAGCCCCTGCTCCCCTTACTAGGGAATCCACATGAAGACCAAGCTGCCTATCAGGTGTGTATGTGTAAGGATAAGAAGACAGAGGGGTCAGAGAACATCGACAACCAGCCCTAACCACAGAGCTAGTGGATGGGTACGGCAGCCCTCCCCTAATCACAGCTCTCTCGAGAGGCAGGGGAGAGGACCGCTGGTAAGTTTGGGGACAGTCTGATCTTCTCATAAGTTTAAGGCTGGTCAGGGATACACAGAAAGACCCTGTCAGAAGGGAGGGGGCAGAAAAGGAGAGACACCGCAGAGATGATGAGAGGCAGCACAGAAATACAGACAGCTCCAAAGGCTGGGTTTCCCACATAATCACAAGTTTCTGAGCTGGCTCTGCCCTTTAAGGGGCTGAAATAGGAGCCACCCCTGTTCACTGAGTGTGTCAAGACAACAATGCCATTTATGGCAGAAGCAGTTACTACAGAATCAACTGTAGCCACGATCACAATAAGTCTCAGTGTATGTCTTTGAATTCCCTGCAGTTTGTTGTTTTCTGAATGGAGACAGGCATTTATGTCTTCCACCAGCTTTGGTCATTTTCAGCACATTATCTTTTTGTTCTTTAAGCTTCCTTCTCTCTTCTCTTTTGGAACTCCAGTTATATGTATGTCAGCGCATTTGTATCCCACAGACCTTTCATCTTTTTCTTTGTTTTGGTTTGTTTCCTGCTCCTCAAACTAGATCATTTCAACTGGCCTGTCTTCAAACTCACCAATTATTCTACTTCTTCAAGTCTCCAGTTAAGCCTCAATTTTTTTTTTAATCTGTTATAGCTTTGAGCTCCAAAATTTCTATTTGGCTTCTTGATATTATTTTTCTCTGCCCACCAATATTCTCTGCTCAGAAATAATTTCCCCTGGTTTTACTTCTTTGTCATGGTTTCCTTTTCCACTGGAGCATAGTTAAAATGGTTGACACCATTTTATTAATCTTTTCCTCTTAAGCCCAATGGGAACAATATCTGCTTTTTTTTTTCTTTCTTTCTTTCTTTGAATTGACCATCCTTTTTTTGTTCTTTTGTGTCTTGTGAATTTTGGTTGAAAACTGGGTGTTCTGAATATTACAACGTGGTGACTCTGGAAAAACCTGATTTAGATGTACAACTGGCTATTGTTGACTGCCAGTGATTATAGCTGCAGACTGCATTTCTTGTGCAGTCGTAACATGTTCTTTCATGATTTCTAAGTAGTTAACCAGTGAGCTGATAGATTTTGTTAACTGCAAAATTTTAGCATTTTTACCCTGATAGCTTTTTTTGTTTGTTTGTTCTCTTTTGTTTTGAATAGATCACAGAATTCTAAAAATTTTGGCAAGGTGTGACCATCTCAGTGGTTGGTCCAAGGGAGAGGCCAGCGCTTGGAACTTCTTGTTCCTTGGTTTTTCTCTTGTATCACTAGCTGGGTGCCTACTAGTGACCCTGCCAGCCCTTGCCCTGAGCACTGTACATATGAACCATCTCATTTAATCCTTACACCAAGCCAGGGGTGGGGATTCAACTCTGTATTCCTAGCACTCCAGAGGCCAAAACAAGAGGACTGCCATGAATTTGAGGCCAACAGCTTTTAAAAGCTGTTCTGAATCATTCTGAGCCTGCCCCTTAATCAGGACGCCTTGGGGCTCCTGATTAGCTCCTAAATACCAGGGATTCCCTCAGAAAAACTGGCTCAACGGGTCATATGACGGGCGGGTGTAGGTGTCTCTTGCTGACACTCACACATATGCTGTGTTCTCTGGCAGTTTCTCCAGGCCTGACTGCTCAGTACCATCTCCAAAATAAACACTGGTAAATCCTGACCCAGCAAGCTAGGAGCAGTTTCATATTTATCTTGCATGGCTCAGCCCGTCCTTCATCTCAGGTTCAGTGTGGAAGTTGTGACAAATATTGACTTTGTTACAAAGTGCAATCCTGGCAAAATCATTCTCTGAAGATTCTTAGACACGCAGAAGTCTGGGCAGCAGAATTCAGCCAGGCAGCTGAGCAAGAAAATGGGATTAGGAGATCCGAGTCAACTTGTCTGACCTTCTAAGAAGAAGGGAGGTGAACAGAGACAAACAGGTGTGCCGTCTTCTGTGAGATGGTGTGAGATGATGTGAGACAACCCTACTGTCCCAGCTCTCTCTAGATCTCAATTTGGCCTTCTCTGTTGTACCCAATCCTAGTTTTTCTTTTTCTTTTAAAAAATTCCTTTGTTCTTTTTTTTTTTTCAATTTTTATTTTAACTTTATGTGTATACATGTTTGCCTGCACAAATGTATGTTAACCATATGCATGCCTGGTACCTATAGTAGTCAGAAAAAGGTGTCAGATGCCTTGGAGCTGAAATCATGGATGGTTGTGAACCGCAGGATAGGTGATGAGGACAGGACCCTAGATGCTCTGCAAGAACAACAAAGGCTCTTGACTATGGAGAGCTAGCTCCCAGTTTTAAAAATCCAGTCAGGGGAGATAAGTAAGTGTTACCTCATGCCACACCTGGTTGACTAACAAGGGCTTTGGGAACACTGCTGAGGACTGCGAGGCAGAACAGACTCAGAGGAACGCAGTATTCCACAAGAGACGTCACCTGTGGACTTGGGAGGCAGAACTGAAGCAGTCTGGATTGCAGGCGACTGCCACCCTTGGTTGCTCTATAAAAGAGTTCATAAGCAGCAAGCACAGCAGGCAGCAGAGTGAAACGTGAAAGCGCTGAAATGGTATGAAGAGCTGGGAGTTCCAGGAATACAGAATCCTGGTCTTCCATTTGCACATAATCTTCTGATACTCATTAACTGAAGCCTGTGAGCTGCACCTCAGCCACAGGAAGAAGAGAAGACAGTAAGGGAACAGTTGCCATTTGCTACTCAACCTTTTTTTCCCACCTCAAAAGATATCAAAGTAGATACTGATAGACAAGATGGCCGAGCATTACAAACAATAAAAATATGCACAAAACAGTGTCTAGAACAGGGGCCAAAACTATACATTTGTAACTTCTCAAACTTTCCAACCTTGTTTTGCTTATAGCTTCACACTTTATAAAATCAATATATTCCAATCATTAGGAACAAAATCATCTACCCACCTAAAGGGTGTGATCCTTTCTGAGAAAGAAGGAAAAAAGAGTGATGCCTTCCAAACCTAGTTACTTCCAAGATCTTCATAAGGGGCCCCAAACCAGGTGAACAGACCAATTATTACACTAACAATTCAAAGCAGGTAGAAAACCTAGAATCATGGGTTATTATTAAGCTCTTTTTTCCATCTAACTGAGGCTAGCCTTGGGGTTCCTCATATGCTTGTCTCCCTCGTCCACCACAGTGCTGAGATTACAATGCAATGCTGTATCAGGCTGCTTGTAAATAAAATGCTTAAAACTAAGTGAAAATCTACTGTTTCATAAGATGGGTGGCATGCTAAGTGACACTGAAGTCACATGCCTGAGTCCAGTCTCATGTGGTTCTTGTTAGCTGTGGGACCTTGTAGAAGTAACTTCTGTGGACTTGGCTTCTTTGTAAAATGACAGTAGCAGCCACCCAATAGGCTGCTGAGAGGGTGAAGTGAATTCACACTCACAGAGCATCTAAGACAGTGGCTGGCACAAGTGTACACCATCCAAATATTGCTACGTAATAGCTAAAAAGATATCAAAATAGATACTGACAGACAAGATGGCCGAGCATTACAAACACTAAAAATGTGCACAAAATGGTGACCAGAACAAGGGCCAACACTATACATTTGTGACTTCTCAAAGAACTAGCTAATGAGAGATTCTGTACCATCATCCCTTCTTCCAGCCCCAGCTCCACATCCACCTTCTCCCTGCTAAGCAGAATGTCTCCAGCTGTCTGGGTCAGCTCCTGGCTCTATTCTTTTACAGAGAATTCAAAGAGTGGATAATGAGAAGGAAAGATTAAGTGTTCTACATGATTAAGAGCTGATATGGGAAAGGGGGGACCAAGGGAAAAGAGCAAAAGCAAACTTTGAGCTTAGTATTTTGGGAACTGAGATGCAGGGTTCAGAGCCAGTGAAAGAAAAGCCCTGGGACTTCTCAGGGATCACTTGGGGTCACAGACTGGATCTCCCTTGATGCCCTTCAAGGGGTACAAAAATTAAAATTATTTGACTTCTGACTGCTGAACTATAGTTCCATGGATATGACTCAGTAGAGCTAGCACAGATGCACGGTCCCACATTGATTTTACCTACATCCATCCATGCAAAGAGGTAAAATGAAATTATATATGTGCTCTTGAGGTAAGTGGGAAACAAATTAATATATGCAA